ATATATATATATAGTGAATGGGGCCAGGAAATCCTATTGGTAATCGGATATCAGTCACAGTTGTGGGTTTACCCTGCCTGAGTAGTGGGTAGCTAACACAGTTAAAAGACAAACCAAACTCTTTATTTATTTTGATTAATTAACAGCACAATTACTACAAAAATAAAACCATTCTTAATTTATTTTGATTATTTATTCCCCTAGTCTCAGATAAAAATAAAACTATTAATTATTAACACAAAAATCAAATATTAGTTGCAAGAAAAAAAAAATCTTATCATCACTTTGTCCAATTGTAAGTTGTAATTTTAGTAATTTTTATTTACAATTTATTTTTGTTATTACACATTAAACAATGGGATCATAAAAATAATAAAATAAAATTAGTTTTGGGTTTTATAAAAAATAAATTTTTTTCTGTACATTTATTTTCTGTCCTTAAAATCATTGTTCTTCATTTATAATTAATTTTTTTATATCATTATATGCTTATTTCTACCATTTAAGAGCCGAGCTAACCTGGCCAGCGTTGCAATGAGATTGCTGATCCGAGGCTTTTCAAGGATTATGGGAATTTAAAGAAGAGCTCACTCAATACTTACCCAAGAAGGACAGTTATTGGCCTGGCAAATATGAAGGGTGTTTATCAGCTATAATTAGAGTTGGATTGTCTTGTGCAGCTTCCCCAGCAAAAGATTGTTTATCAATGAGAGAAACATAGACAAAGTTGCATGAGATTAAGGAATTCTTTACTTAATTAAGGTTGGAAACCCTGTAAGGCAGCCCATCAGCCTCAGTTGTGTATATGTTTTATCTGATATAGCTTTGCTGAAGGACTGTGCTATTATTTTTAGTATCAGTCCTAGCAGAATTTGTTTAGATTATTGATACCATATGATACAAGAGAAATTTTTTTTGATTTCATTGTTAAAGATGAGTCAATTGTCTTCTCAGAAGAAGCAAAGCACCACTGTCTTTCCCACCAATTGAAGCTACTTCAAAAACCAGGCATTGTTTGAGTTGGACAGGAAAAATCAGAACTCAGCTCAAATGCAACCCTTGGGACAGAACAACTTGACAGTAAGGCATGATCAGATATCTAAGCTGTTAATTGCCAGGTCCCAGTTTGCAGAAAGCAGAAACAGGAAAAAAACCTTGGGAATTAACACTGTTGTTTAATTGCTTGGGAGATAATGATCATTGTTTCAGAATAACTAATCACCTTTCTCATTGATAGCCAGCTAAAATTTTCTTCTGTTTGTAGCTCTC